CTCCCCGCCCAGGTCGGGGAGGGGGTGGATCTTTCGCCGTGGTGAAGCATGATTGGAAGCGCGCTAAACCATTCGCGTCGTGACGGGCTGGCGGGGCATCGATGTCTCGTGTGCCGAGATTATTTCGGGTAATACAGTCGGCGGTGCAGGGCCCGTCCGAGTAGATCGGTCGCGGCGGTCGCGCCGCGACGCTTGCGTGCGACATTGCGAACGGGGTCCTCGAGTTTGGATCGGACGGCCGTTTCGGGGATTGCAGGCAGGAGGTCTCCGACCTAAGAAGTGGCGTCTTCTGAGTGCGCTGGGGGGAAGTCAAGGGGGGGGTGCTGGGGGGGGGTCGAAAGCCTCGCCCCTGGCCCTCCGACCCCGCCGGCCCTCGCCCTTCGGCCCCAGCGACCCGCTACGTCGACGAGGCCCGGGACGCCACGGCGACGACGGCGACGGCGCGCCCCGCCCGCTTGCCCGGCCGATTCGCCCACGACGACGTCGACGACGCGCCCCGCCCGCCCGCCCATGGCATCGACGACGAAGACAGGCGCCCCGCGCCGGCAAGCGGCGGCGCCAACGGCTGCGACGACGCGCCCCGCCCGCCCGCGCTACCAGCTGCGATGGCCACGCGTCTTGCCGACCCGCCCGACCGACCGAGTCGTCGGCGGTGGGCGACGATCGCGACGGCGACGACATGTCCCGCCCGCCCGCCCGACCGACTCGCCCACGAGGACGTCGACGTCTCGTCCTGCCCGCCCGCCCGACCGACGCGCTCGCCGTCGAGCGACAATGACGACGCGGCGAGGGGGAAATGAACCCTCGCCCCCCCGACTTGGGGGCGGCAGGCGGGCCCGCCCCCTGACTCCCGGAAGGGGGGCCCTTGGGGCTCGTGCCAGCAAGGGGTGGTGGCGGGGTGCTGTCCCGGACGGGGGGAAGGGAGGCGCCGTTCCGGATGGGGAGGGGGGCTTCGACGCGGCGACGTTTTCGACCGCGGCGCGCAGTCGAGCGATGCCGCTCGTGGCGTCGACCAGGCGGATTACGCGGAGCGTTCGGTGGCGCCGACTCGCGTCGCGCGCGCCGCGGCAGTCTGGCGGGGGTAGCGGGGCGCGCGCGGCGTGGCGTGGCGCGGCGCGCGGGCGCGCAGCTGGCGGCGACGCCTTCGCCGCGCGCGCCAAGGGGCCGGGAAAAAAAACAAATCTGCGAAACCTGGGCGTTGTTCTTTTTCTTTTCCCCAACCATCCTGTGGTGTTGGGTCCTCGTTTTGAAGAGACAGCGCCCCGCGTCTCCTCTCCTCTCCTCTCCTCTCTCCTCTTCCTCTCCTCTCCTCTCCTCTCCTCTCTCTCCTCTCTCTCCTCCCTCTCCTCTCCTCTCCTTTCATCTCTCTCCTTCTCCTCTCCTAGCCTCCTCCTCCTTCCCCCTCCCACTCCCCATCGCCGTCACATACTCACGGCATGTCATTCTCATCATCATCATCATCATCATCCTCATCTTCATCATCATCATCATCATCATCATCCTCGTCATCATCACCACCAGCATCATCATCGTCATCATCATCGCCATCGCCGTTAGTTCCCAACCATCCTGTCATCATCACCACCAGCATCATCATCGTCATCACCACCAGCATCATCATCGTCATCGTCACCATCATCATCGCCATCGCCATTAGTTCCCATTTCCGCACACCCCTCGCACGTTTCGTGGCCCCATAGGGAGCTCCACCGAAGGCCCGAGTGGCAGGGTTCGCATGCCGCCCCACCCCACTTTGGCACACCCCTCACACGTTCCGTGGCCCCATAGGTAGCTCCACCGAAGGCTCCAGTGGCAGGGTTCGCATGCCGCCCCCGCCCCACTTTGGCACACCCCTCGCACGCTTCGTGGCCCCATAGGTAGCTCCACCGAAGGCCCCAGTGGCAGGGTTCGCATGCCGCCCCCACCTCACTTTGGCACACCCCGCACACGTTTCGTGGCCCCACAGGGAGCTCCACCGACGGCCCCAGTGGCAGGGCTCGCATGCCGCTCCCACCCCACTTTGGCACACCCTTCACGCATTTCGTGGCCCCATAGGTAGCTCCACCGAAGGGGCCCCAGTGGTTGCGTTCGCATGCGCCCCCACCGCGCATTTCGGCACACCCCTCATAAGTTTCGTGGCCCCATAGGTAGCTCCACCGAAGGCCCAGTGGCAGGGTTCGCATGCCGCCCCCGCCCCACTTTGGCACACCCTTCACACGTTTCGTGGCCTCATAGGGAGCTCCACCGAAGGCCCCAGTGGCAGGGTTCGCATGCCGCCCCCATTTCACTTTGGCACACCCCTCACACGTTTCGTGGCCCCATAGGGAGCTCCACCGACGGCCCCAGTGGCAGGGCTCGCATGCCGCTCCCACCCCACTTTGGCACACCCTTCACGCATTTCGTGGCCCCATAGGGGCCTCTACCGAAGGCCCCCGTGGCAGGGTTCGCATGCCGCCGCCGCCCACTTTTGCACACCCCTCACGCGCTTCGTGGCCCCATTGGGAGTTCCACCGACGGCCCCAGTGGCAGGGTTCGCATGCGTCCGCGCCACCCATGTCGACACACCCTTGACACGTTTCGTGGCACCATAATGAGCTCCACCGAAGGCCCCAGTGGCAGAGTTGGCATGCCGCCCCTCGCCCATTTCGGCCCACCCCTCACACGCTTCGTGGCCCCATAGGGAGCTCCACCGAAGGGGCCCCAGTGGTTGCGTTCGCATGCGTCCCAGCATATTCTTCGGAGCTGCGGCCAGCCCTCCCCCCGAGCCCCCAGGCGCTCTGCCAGAGACACCTGCCAGAGACACCTGCCGCTCTGTCAAAGACACCCGCCGGCGCGACAAGACCCAGACAGCGTGCAAGGACACGCATTGGCGAAGATAACCGCGCTTTGTCGTCGCCGTCTCTGTCGCGATCTCTATTTCTCTGTCTGTGGCCGGCCCATTAACTTTATTAGTTTATATTCACCTTGCAATGGCCCCCAAGAGAGCTCGTCCCTAAAGGCGCTCTGCCAGAGACACCTGCCAGAGACACCTGCCGCTCTGTCAAAGACACCCGCCGGCGCGACCTTCCCTCGGTCCGCAGCCGGACCTTCTCTCGGTCCTGTGGACTCTCGCCCTGGGCCGTCGACTGTCCGGCGCATTGCTCCCCCGGCCGACGCCGCCCAGGCGTGATCCTTGGACTGCGGCCGCCACGAGGTCGGGAACGGCAAGAAGGACGACGACGACTGGTGGCTGGAGCTCTACGCGCTGCTCTCGCGCGCCACGCGCCACGGGGACCTCCTGCTCATGCGGGCGCCGCGTATCGAGTTCTTCCTGGCAGGGCCGCCAGCGGGCTTGCGGAAGCAGCTGGAGCAGTTTGCGACGCGCACGAAGCGGTGCAGGAGGGAGTCGACGGCCCTCGCCAAGGAGCTGGGCTTCACCGAGTTTATCCGCGAGGCCTGAC